AGACAAACTGGATCCTCCGTGAGGACGGGTTCTGGTCCTACAAAGACAGCCAAACCTTTTAAGTCTCCCTCCTCAGCCCCACCCCTCTGGGAGGAAGGTGCAGCCTCCCAGAAGACCCAAGGTAGTGTGGAGTGTGGGTTGGGGGGTGGGTATGGGGTTGGTGGGGGGTGGACCCTAGCTGGGCTGGAACCTCAAGAGTTGACATGGGAGTGGGCTGAGATCATCTCCTAGGGACTGATGGCACCCCAACATGGGGTGGGCCTCTGGCTGGGGCTTTTGTCTGAAAAGCAAAAACCTCCTGTCCTGGCAAGCCTCCCCACAACTCCCCTCCAGAGTGCTCTTGTCTCCTTCCCTGCCATGCAGGCAATTCTGGCAGCAGAGAGCAAGGAGAGACAGGGTCAGTCTGGCTTTGGATGGCCTCAGGGCTGTCTCCTGCTCAAAATGCATAGCCTTTTGTACGGTACCTCCTAATGCACAGCAGCTTTGTTCTTCATTTTGCCTATGACTCCCCTTGTGGGTAAACTGGTGAATAGCAGGTGATGTTGAGCAATCTCATAGGTGCCCTAGACCTCACAGGTATGTTAACAGCAACCAACAGCCAAGGTGACCTGAGTGTTTACCACGTGCCACAGGTGGGGCTCAGCACTTGATTAACATCGTCTCATTGCTTGGTGTCCCTTTGGGGAAGTACGTTTATATATTATGTAATATGTTTACAGTGTCATCATCAGGCTCTTTTATGGAAGGACAGGCAGGGACTCAGAGAGGACACAGAACCTGCAAGTGCCAGGGGCCACGAGTTGACTCCTGTTCCCCATCTGGAAGCTCTGGATTGCTGGGGGTGGAGGGTGGTGGGTGGGCCGGAGGCACAGAGATGAACAGGAGCTGGTTCTGGGGGTGGGAGTCAGGATGGGTCACCTTCCTTCCTGGCCACTGTGTGAGTTTGGGGGGCATCTGCTGCTTAGCGTCTGGTAGCTAAAAAGTACTTTCCCCAGATAAGACATTTGCTTTTGAATGACCTTCCATTTTTTTTTTTTAAGATTTATTTATTTATGCTACAGAGCTGGGGTACAGGCCAGAGGTGCAGGGGCAGTGAGAGGATTCACCAGAGACAGAGTGGGGAGCAGAACAGGCGGACTGACAAAGCACACTGCTGAGGGGAGCAGCGGGCTGGTCAGGAGAGGTCTGCCGCGCCATGTGGTCACCTCCGGGGCAGGCGGGGATCGAACTCATGCGGAAGTGTCTTTAGCTTCTTAGTGCAGTGCTTTAACCCGCTGCGGCACCAGGGAGGCTCTGAATGAACTTCCATTTTAATGTAGTTTAAAACTATGTAAGTAAATTGATCCTACCTACAGTGTGAAGTGCATCAGAGGTCAAGCATAAACAAGGCCTTGAATACTGGACTGGCCTCAGAACAAGCCTGGAGGGGTGGTGGGGGGTCAAGTTCCGAGGTGCTGGCGGCCCAGGAACAGCAGGCTTCTGGCCAGGCTGTCCCAGAGGCCAGGGAGGCTGTCCCGGGCAGGGAGCTGCGCGGATCTCATTACCCCGCCACACGGGGAGGGGCTACCTCGTGACCTCACCCCTGCCGCGATCTGCAGCCATTAAACTCGCTCCCCGTGACGTGGCGGCAGCACTGACTCCCAAATCCGCGAGGTGGGTGGTCGGTTCTTCCCGGGACTTTAGGAAGGGTGAGATGTTTGGGTTCCTCTCCCGGACTCCGCGGGCTGAACGGGAGGAGGAGAATTTGGGCGCAGGAGTAAACAAGTCGCTGTGCGACTCCATGCAGCTGCCGAGTCTGGCCCCGAGGTGCTCCCGGGCAGCCGACACCTGTCGCGCTCCCTGCAGCTGCATCGCCTGCTCGCGGGGATAGGCTGAACGCCCCCGCCCCTTCAAGGGGTCGGTGGGTCGCCTCGTGCAGGAGTAGGGAGGAGAAACTCGGGAGTGGGGTGGCTGTTCCCCAGCTGTCGGAGACACGAACCCCTCTGGGCCTCCTGGAGTCTTGGGGACACGGTTTCCTGTTAATGAATCCCGGTTCCCCCTGCTTCCCTGTCTCAGGTATTCGGGCAGCAGATCAAGCGAAATCCAGCGTGAAGTTGAGGGTCCACATCCGGAAGGAAGATGCGCGCCCTCATTGTGAGTGCGGGGTCGGGCGCGATGGGTATAGGGGTTCAGCAATGATGGGGGCTCCTGTTCCAGGAGCCAGAGTCGCGGTTTCCGAGAGAGGATCGTAGAGGGGGCGGGGCCGCGCCGCCGCGGAGGCTAAGCATCAGGTGTCAGATGGGGTTCACCCGCGGGCCCCTAGGTGAAGTGCCTCCGTGGGCCGTGGGCCGGATGGATCTCCGGCTGCAGGAGACAGCAAGGGCGACTCCTCTCCGGGAAGCCCTTGTTGTTGTCCTGAGTCAAAGTGGGCCACCTGGACCTACTGGGGGACTGAGTGCCTGGGGTTGGACCTGCCTGCCAGGGCCGGACCTCGCAATGACCCTTTCTGCTCTTAGCCAATTCACCTCATGACCAGCTAGCAAATTCCTTTCTAATCGTGATGTGATTCAGAATCATAAAGGAATTCAGCAAATGCTTCCTCTCCACCTGCTGTAGCGTTTCTGACCTGGGGATGGGGTTCTTATCCAGAGTGGGACTGGTCAAGAAGATTCTGGAGCTTCACATTTATGAAGTTCTGGCGACAGTGCATTGTGCACTTATTAAGTGCCCTGCCCTAATTCACTGCTAATACCACTTAAAACCCCTCAGTGCCTGCTACCAGTGTGTACCTGGTGCATTTGCTGCCTGGAGTGGATATTTCAAAGTATCTTTTCCTTTAGCAACATTATTGTCTGTAATAATCACCATCTGGAGAAGAAACAGTGAAAATTTTCTTTTATTGAGTTGTGTTTATGAAATCCTATGTAACACAAGTAAAAATGAAAAAAGAAATAGGTGAAAGTAGAAAAAAAGTAATGAATTGATTGTAATGGCATGAGTGTATTTTAAAATGGAAAAAATCTTATTACTGATAGGTTGGCTGCAGTAATGGATAATAATAATATTACAGTTTCAGTTTTAGAAACTTCTGAACAGTTGTCCATGACTTTGTCAAGATGGGTTTTTGTACTTTCATTTTCAGTATTCAGCAGAGCTAGATCTGTCAGTCTATCTTTGCTCACAGTTGATGGAAGACATTTAATTAGTTTTTATTAGCCTAATAAAAATAGATCAACCTATCAAAATAGGTTAATAACAATTAATACAATCTTTTAAACTATATTAACTTCACTTCTCTCATTTGACACAGCACATCTGTTTAAGGAAAAGCCTTAAATAGTAGGGTTCATCAAAGGTTAATAGCTCCTTCTCATAATAAATTTCAGAAATTATAATACTGTCTATGTCCCTTTAAAAAAAATTCTAGTTTTTAAATGTTGCCACAGTTTAGTTTTTAACTAAAACCTCTTCACCAGAAAACTCATCATCAGTTTTCCTTTCATTTGACAAAACTTCTATCAAGTTTTTTTCACTTCTGTAAAAATCAGAAAAGATGGCTGAACGACTAGTGAACATGGACACTTATTTACTCCATTGCTTTAGAGAGTTGAGCTCTTGGAGAATATGACCCAGACTTTGAAACTCACATTGAGTTGCTTCTAGTGACAGGAGAGCAGACTCTTATCTTAAGGAAGCTGTAGGTGATCTGGCTTATCCACACAGACCTTGCCTCAAAGTGAGCTCCATCTGGTGGGGGTCACTGGGAGCTGAGTGTGGGAGATGAGACACCCCAAGCCCAATCTAGGGGAGGCTGCTGTAGAACTAGATGTTCTGATTGAACTCCCATGTAGAAGACAGAACTTTGAAAAGAGGAAGAAATAAAAAGGAGCTAATTGGAGGTCTACATATCTCATCTCAACAGCAACTGTAGCAGGTTGGATTTAGATCAATGAGCTCTGGCCGGGGCAGCAGCATTTTGTCACTGACATTCTTTACCATTGTGGGTTCCTGGTGATAATAAACAGCAGACTGACTTCTGGTGTGTCTTATCATTGTTCTAAAATTCTCCATAGACCACTCACCCCTTTATGTCTGCACCCAGGGATTATAGTGCTATGTCCCCACTCTGGGTGTCCCTGCCTGGGCCTCAGGGAATACCAACTGTAAGTTGGTACAGCAGCTTCAGGCACCCTTCCTAGGGGCCAGGCTGTGTGTCTCCCCTAGGACCCGCATTTCCTGCAGTCTTTAGTCTGGCAGGGAGGCCTTGGTCACAGTGACTTTTTCCTGTCTCCGGCTGCGTTCCACATTTGCTAGGATGGGTGGGCCAGAAGGCTTTCCTTCCTTCTCCACTCTGTCCTTAATATGGGGTTGTTGAGAGCTTCTGGGAAAATGAAGACAGAAAATGAAAGGGACTCCTGTGAAGCAGCAGTGGGCAGTCCTGGGGAGATCTAGGTTCTTCTGCTCTGTGGGACTCCTCCAGTTTCCTGGTCTCTGGAGAGACTTGGGGAGCAAACAGTGTTTCTCCGAGGCCACTCACTCTGATGGGGGTGGGAGCCAGTGGCAGGTGAACTGGACCCAGTCCTGGGTGCTCAGTCTAGCTGGTGGCCACTCCTTCCAGGCCAGCTCTGCAGCCACAGTCACAGTCACAGATAAGCAGGGCGTGGGCAGAGAGGCGGTAGCTGCACAGCCTGGGAGGCCGGGGGGAGGAGGTGGCTGCATTTTGAGGGATGAGTGGGAGTCTGAGTGACTTGAGTGTGGAGGCCTGGCCTGCAGTGACTCTCGCGGAGGGCTTGCTGTGGGCAATAGTCAGCCCTCAGACTGAGGCGCCCTCTACTGCTTCTGACCTCTGAGAACCTGGGCCTGTTACTTCCTGTCCACTTCCTGGGCTGTGAGAAGGGGGCAGTAAGAGTTTCTGGTAATGTTAAAACCCTGAGCAGTGCAGGGTGGTGCTGGCTCCCAGGGTGTATATGTGTGTGTGAGGGGGTGCATTGGGGGTCTGCCATGTCAAATTACTCTGGGGCCCAGAGGCCAGGAGCCCAGAAGGCGGCTGAGTTGTGCCCCCTCCTGGGAACCCATGGCCTCCAGGTTGCTGAGGCTGGGCCTGGTGCCTACTGGAGCAGCCATTGTCCTTCTCCAGCAGCTGGCGAGGGAAAGGTGGCATTTGCCCTTTCCCACCTTCTCTCTGGGCCTGAGGCTGGGAGGCTGGAGGCCCACCCTTCATGGGGTCTCAACTTCCTCAACGTTTCCCCCCACGATCTCATTTATTCACACAAATCTTGTAGCCTCACATAGATGGACTGGCACCCAGCTCCTCATGGCTTTCTTTTCTTCCTAAAAACTTGGCATTGAAACTCTCAATTCTTTGTTGGAAAATCCCTTACAACTTTTGCCCTGGACTTCAGTCTTTCTTCATGTCACAGGAAATGTTCCCTAGAACACCGATGGAATGAGTAGGGATTTCCACATGCTCACCAGCACATGGTTTTGGGAACACAGAGAAGAATTTGCCTGGAGCCAGGTGTTGTGACCTCCACAGTGTCCCAGAGTTGTCTGCCACCTCTCCTAATACAAACTAATCAAACACCCACAGCATGGCCACAAAACCTGCCATTCCCAGCCCACTTCCTATGCACCAGGCTGCGTCTATGTGTTTGACAGGGGTTGTCCTGAGGAGTACAACCAGGTGCTTTGATGAACTTCATTGCACAGCTGAGGAAACTGAGGCAGGGAGAAGTTGGGTCTCCTGTCTAAGCCTGTCTGTTTAGTAAGTGACAGAGCCTGGGTCTAGGCCCAGCTGTCGGCCCCACAGCTCCTATGCTGTAATCCGTGGGCCGTTAATGAAAACTCAGTTCTTCTTGAAGTGAACACAGTTGTGCTTGTCAGCTTACTTTCTGCATCTCTCTTTTTTTTTTTTTTAAAGATTTAAAAAAAAGGTTTACTTATTTATGCATACAGAACTGGGGTACAGGCCAGAGGTGCAGGTGCAGTGAGAGTACCAGAGACAGAGTGGAGAGCAGAACAGGCTGACTGCTGAGGGGAGCAGCGGGCAGGTCAGGAGAGGTCTGCTGCGCCATGTGGGTCACCTCCCTGGCCAGGAATCGAACTCATGCTGCAGTGGCTTTAGCTTCTTAATGCTGTGCTTTAACTGGATGTACCACCAGGAAGAGGCTTTTTAAAGATTTATTTATTTATGCACACAGAACTGGGGTACAGGCCAGAAGTGCAAGAGCAGTGAGAGGTTTCACCTGAGGTAGAGCTGGGAGCAGATCAACAAAGTACACTGTGGAGGGGAGTAATGGGTGGGTCAGGAGTGGTCTGCCATGCCATGTAGCCATGTGGGTTCCTGCCCTCGTTGGGGATCAAAGTCGCAGTGAAGTGACTGTGGGCAAGCTTCATGGCACTGCACTTTAACCTGTTGCGCCACCAGGGAGGGCCCAAGATTTATTTATTTATGCATACAAGAACTGGGGTACAGGCCAGAGGTGCAGTGGTGAGAGGATTCACCAGAGACAGAGTGGGGAGCAGAACAGGCAGATGGACTAAAATACACTGCTGAGGAGAGAAGTGGGCAGGTCAGGAGAGGTCTGCCACACCATTTGGGTCACCTCCCTGACTGGGGATTGAACTCACGCTGCAGTGGCTGTGAATTGCTTTATAATGCTGTGCTTTAACTCATTGCATCACTAGGGAGGGCCCCTGTATTTTCTTAATGCCAGAAATAATTCATTAAAAAATAAGACTTGGTCTTCCCTGGTGGTGCAGCAGGTTAAAGCACAGCACTCAGAAGTTTTTTAGGTTCAGGGAATTTATTTTTACTGAACACGCCTTCCAAGACCCAGGTGCAGGAATAGAGCCAGACTCTAACACTGTCTGGCTTAGGGAGACTAATTTAATGGGTCAAATAAGTTTAGTAAGTATTCAGTTGGCCCATGTTAGCCATTACAAAATTTTACTTAGTTTTTTTTTTTATTTTACAAAAGTTTATTTTTACATCATTTTGTACATTTTTCCCCTATCTCAATTGTAATCCCCATGGGTTTCCCATCACCAAGTCACCCGTGTGCCATCACCATAATCCTGTGCATTTCCCTCCCCCCCCACCCCGTTTTTGATCCCATTCCCCACTCCACCCCCGCAAAATGTCTCTGGTATATGGTTGTTCATTACTTTTGTTATTTTCTCGCCTGGTCCATTATACTCCTGCTATGAGTGAAACCATCCAGTATTTTTCTTTCTCTTTCTGGCTTATCTCACTAAGCATGATCTTTTCCAGCTCCATCCAAGTTGCTGCAAAAGACATGTGTTTCTCTTTTTTGGTTGCTGAGTAATATTCCATTGTATATATGTACCACATCTTTTTTATCCAGTCATCTACTTTTGGGCATTTGGGCTGCTTCCATGTTTTTCCAATTGTAGCACTAAGAAGTTTTAAAGCCACTTCAGTATGAGTTTGATCTCCAACCCGGAGGTGACCCACATGGTGTGGCAGACCTCTCCTGACCAGCCAGCTGCTTCCCTCAGCAGTGTGCTTTGTCAGTCAGCCTGTTCTGCTCCCTGCTCTGTATCTGGTGAAGCCTCTCATCGCCCCTGCACCTCTGGCTTGTACCCCAGTTCTGTATGCATAAATAAATAAATATTAAAAAAAAAAGTTGGCAAATCCCTCGGTACTGGAGCTAAAGCAGGTGAGTGTGGGTGGCTTGGCTTTGAGTTAAAGTTAGTGGCCTTGAATCAAAGGAAAAGCCCTTTTTGTTTGTTTCAACCCTAGCACTGAAGTTCTAAAAGTGCGCTCACCTTCCAGTCCCATCCGGGGCCCACAGCTGAGGCACTGATACTGGCTGAGAGTTTCACGGGTAGTGTGGATTTTCATGCGGGGTTGGTGGAGGTGTGAATTCTGCGGAGGGCTGGGCTGTCTCCTTTCTTGTGTAGGAGTCTGGGGTCAGCTTTCTACTTTGCCACTTTGAGGTTAACTCTGGGTAAGTGACCTCATGACCCTTAGCTGCAATCCCCCCTACAAAATGAGGTGTGACTGCCCACTTCAGCTGAACCTCTCAGCTCTCCTCAGCCACGCTCTGCTGTTCAGACAGCAGCCTCCGCTGCCAGGATGCTCCAGAGTCCTGCTTCTGGCTGAACCCCACGCGTCCAACCCTGTGCATTGCTCCCTTGGTCCCGCATCCCAGCTTACCTGTCTCCACCTGCGGGGAGCAGAACAGGCCGACTGAGGAAGTACACTGCTGATGGAGCAGCGGGCGGGTCAGGAGAGGTCTGCCAATTCCAGGAATCTGAGGACTGATTATGGGATCTGGGGTTGAATTCTGTTTCTATCTCATATGTGTTCCCCTCATTCTTCAAGTCTGTAGCAAAATTTTCAAGCACTGCCTTTCCTGGAGTCCTCTCCACTTGCATTCCCCTCCCCTGTCTTCTGCCCATTTCAGGTAGGCTTTTTCTTCCAAATAATGCTGTTCTCCTAAAGGGAACTCCTGATCCTCTCTGGACCTTCAGATCCTTTGCTTCCCACTCACTCCCGGATGGACATTACAAGCCAGCACCCCTAAGCATCAGCACTCCCTTGCTCTAGCCCCCTACTGGCTCTGGCCAGTAACCTGGGATATCTTTGACTCCAGTTCTCCTTCACAGCCGCCCTCACTCCATCAGCAGATCTGTTGAATCCACTGCTTCTCAGGCCCTCTGCCCTCCTGAGCCATCCTCTGCCTCTCACGCCCCACTAGTCTACTGTCTCCACGCCTGTCCCTCCTCTCCAGCCACCATGGCCTCCTCCAGGAAGCTGCTCGGGCCTTTGTGTGGCCGTGGCCTCTGCCGGGTTCTGAGCGTGACTCCCTCAGCTGCGCCGCAGACCTCTGATGGTCACTCTTGCTCTGCCCTTCTCATGCCCCAGCCTCGAGTCCTGCCTCCTCCGCCCTCTGTTCTGTCTTCCTTTCTGTTTTGGTTTGATGTCTCTTTTAATATTCTAGGTAATTTCCTTATTTACTAAAATATTAACAAATATTCTTTTTCTTTGGTCTGTCCCTGCTCACGAACAAAAGCTCCCTGAAGGAGACAGTCCTGACTTTGTTTATGGACAGAACCTGGGTGCCCAGCTTGGGCTTCTCTCTGGGTAATCTGTTGAGTGAATGAGTAGAGGCGTGACTTCCCTGACCCTCCCAGGCAGAGGTGGGAATCCCCAAGGTGAAGGGTCCCCTGAGGGACCTCACTGACTCCTTCATTTTCCTGAGGTGGTGGTGGTGGGGTTTGCTGAAGCTGTGTGGGCTTCGGCATGCCTGCAGCAACCCGGGTCCTGTAAACTGCAAGATTTTCCCCATCTAAAAAATCTTAATTTTTTTTTATTGTAGAAGTAACTAATATTGGTAAAATTTTTTTGATAAGAACATAATATAACATAAAATATAAAAGTCCCTGACTCCCAGCCTACTATCTCTAATATACAACAGTTTGCATCTTTTCCTTATTATACATGGTTTATAGTACATTTTGCTTACATAATAAATAACTGTATAAAAAGGATATTTTAAACCAAAATGGAATAGGTATCCTGTTCAACTTGTCGATTATTTCCATGTAAGCTCAGCAGATCCACCTGCTTCCCCTGAGGACCATAAATGTAGGATAATTTATTTTTATTAAATTTTATTTTTATTAAAATTAAGAAAAAGATTCATTCATTTATGCATACAGAACTGGGGTACAGGCCAGAGGTGCAGCGGCAGTGAGAGGATTCATAGAGACAGGGTGGGGAGCAGAACAGGCAGATGGACGAAGTACACTGCTGAGGGGAGCAGCGGGCAAGAAAATAGAGGTCTGCTGTGTCATGTGGGTCACATCTGGTGCTGGGGATCGAACTTGTACCCAAGTAGCTGCAGCCAGTTTTCAGTGCTGCGCTTTAATCCATTGTGCCACCAGGGAGGGCCCCCTAATTTATTTTGTTTTTTATTAATAGCTTTTCGGGCTGTTTTCCCATAGGATGTAGAGGCCTGGAAATGCTCTTCAGTTTGCTTGTTAGGGAAAATGATGGTTACTCAGCTGATTGTGACTGGACTTTGCAGGAGGAGAAAGACTTTTTGTTCTGAAAGCGCCTGGTGTGTGTGTGGGGGGCTTGCTTTGCCTTTATGGTATGTGTGTGTGGGCGGCCTTAGCCCTGCTCAGGCTGGGAAATCTGCTCGCCTTGCTCCTGGAATCCAGAGATGAGATATCATGGGTCCTGGGGCTGGGGGCTGCTGAAGGAGGGTGCCTGCTGAGCCCTGTGTAACAGGAGCTAGCATTTTTCTGCAAAGGGCCAGGAAGTGACTCTCTGATGGCTGCAGCCAGGGTCTCTGCAGCAGCCAAACAGCTCAACCCTAGGGAGAGTGCAGCCAAGCCAGGTGGGAAAGAACAGGCAGAGGTGCCCGGTGACACTGAGGGACACCGAGGACTAATTCCATAGCCCGGGTGACAACATAGCTTCCTTCTTTTGCCATCTGCCCACTGTGAAAGCGTGGGCAGCCCATTCTTAGGTTGCAGGTACCAGCTTAAGCAGAGCTCGGGGTAGGCCAGGCGGGCCCCATAGGGCTAGCTTTACCATGGGATCTCGAGTCCTTAACTTTTTTTAAAAAAGATTTATTTATATATTTATGCATATAGAACTGGGCTACAGGCCAGAGGTGCGGGGGATGAGAATTCACCAGAGACAGAGTGGGGAGCGGAATGGGCAGATGTATGAAAGCCATGAATGAGATTTAAGGAGGGACTGGGAGCTGGGGAGGCTGACTGCTCCTTCCTAACCCGGCCCTGCCTCTGCTCCCAAGGTTTCCCGGTGCCGCTAACAGCCCTGTTCTTGGTTTTGCAGCCAGAGCCCAAGCCTGGAGACCTGATTGAGATTTTCCGCCCTCTGTACAGGCACTGGGCCATCTATGTCGGTGATGGATATGTGATCCACTTGGCCCCCCCAAGTAAGGCCCAGGGCCCCCACTGTGCTGGAGTTGGGAGGAGAGGGCGAGGGGGAGCCATGGGTATGGGTGACCCCAACATTCTCCTTGGTCCCTGACTGGTGGTTCTTACTGAAGAACAGTAAGAAGGCAGTTTGGCGTCGGGGTAAGGGTTCTGAAGAGGCGCTGAGGTGGCCTTCTACGGGGGTGGCTCTGCTCTGTGTTTTATATCCCATGGTTTTATATAAAAGGTTTATATATAAATTCCTGTGTGAGCACAGGTGTTTGGGTAGCAGGCTTGCCTGGGAATCTGGTTCTGCTCTCCAGCCGTGGTTTCCCATCTGTTAACTGAGACTAAGGAGACTTACCTTGGAGGACTGCTGTTCATTCCTTTTCTTAAACACATGTACCCATGCTGGCCTGCTCACAAATCCCAGACATGAGAATGGTTTCCTTGGCTGATCCTTGGCCCCCAAGTGTCCTCTCAGTAGCAAATCGGAATTCCTGTGATTTTCTAAAATCTCAGGATTTGTACTCAGGGCACAGGGAGAGCTGAGCAGAGCAGTGTCCCCTGCCCTGGATTGTTGTTTCACATGGTGTCTCAGTGCAAGATTGGTCTTGCTCCTTGCGCAAGGAGCCTCCCTTGCTAAGAGGAACTGAGGGGGTCCCATCCTGGCGGGGCCAGAGTGAGAGTGAGCCCTCTCATGATGATCCCAGGTCCTAGGTAAACCTTTCAGTGCATGCCCTCCCCTGCAGACAGGCTGGCAGCTGGGAGGGATGTGTAGGGGGATGCATGGTCTCGTGTTAGCATCTGCTTTCCCTCCTCCTCCTGGTCTGAGTATTGACCCTAGACTCCCTTTCTTCAAGGCTATTTCACTTCCAGCGTTTTGCTGCTTCTCCCAATCCCCAGCCTTGGCTAGAGCTGTGCTGGTCTGCCCGCTGGGAAATCCCTGGCACCATATTTCTGGAAGCAGCTTGGGGGTTTTGGTTCACTTACACAGAGCATGCACCTTTCCCGCAGTAATCAGATCTGTTTATATCAAAGCAGAGTAGCCACTGTGGAATCATGGAACTTCACTACTCCTCATTTCAGATAAGGAAGCCAGAGCCCAGAGACCACAGGGCTTTCTCCAAAACCACACAGCCATGTGCCCAAGTCTTAGCACCTGGCCCTTCCACATCTACTCATCCCCTTATAGATGGTGCCAAGTGTGAATCCTGGTCGGGGCCTGCTCTGAGTCACACTGGCTGCCTGGGACCAATCCTTGTTTTTCATTTGTGAGCCTACAGGTGAATTTGCTGGAGCAGGTGCAGCAAGCATCATGTCAGCCCTGACCGACAAGGCCATAGTGAAGAAGGAGCTGCTGTATGATGTGGCTGGGAGGGACAAGTACCAGGTCAACAACAAACACGATGACAAGTATCCACCTCTGCCACCCAGCAAAATTATCCAGCGGGCGGAAGAGTGGGTGGGGCAGGAGGTGCTGTACAAGCTGACCAGTGAGAACTGCGAGCACTTTGTGAATGAGCTGCGCTATGGCGTGGCCCGCAGCGACCAGGTACGTCCTCTTGGCTTCCCCTTTCCCAGGACACACCCCATCCTGACCTGGGCCCTCTGCTCAATGGCACAGAAGCCAGCTTTGGGGAAAAGAACCAATTTTAAGCAAGGTCATCTGGCAGAGCTTAGAGGCAGATTCAAGTCAGTTTCGCCTGAGGAGGGGCTTTTCCAAGTAGGTATAGGGTTGAGCAGCAAAGAGAAATGCAAGTAAGTAGAATTGATTGGTAGCTTTCTGTTGAATCATGGTACCCCTCAAATTCAGGTTTAGAAGTGCAACAAAAGGGAACACCTCTGGATCCTGACTGTCTCTCTAGCCATGAGGGGCTGTCTTAGTTCTATCTTCCAGGGCTGAAGGACAGTGAACACCCTTTGGGCCTGCACTCTGAAACACAGCTTATCAGATTGTTTCCCCCTCCCCATAATTTAAGATGGGTAGGGGCATTTTTGCCCAGTGTTTCAAGCCTTCCCTGCTCTTGCAAAATAATCCAACAGATGACCATCATGACCTTCATAGTTTCAACTCCTTTGGCTAATAGTGGCTAAGCATCTGTGCACATTGGGGTGGAGATAAAGGCATGAACAGGACCAGTAGCAAAGAAGACAGAATCCCTGAGGACATGTGGTGGGAACAAGGGTGGGATTGAGGGTGGAAAGGTTGGCAAGATGGTAGAGCAGACCAGCACAGTAAGGCCACAGATGAGAGTCACAGCAGGATGGCACCCTGTTTCTGAGCCCTCCCTGGCCACCAGGCTGGACCCTCACCACAGCCCTGGAGGTAGGTTGTATCACTCACTTTATAGAAGGGGAAACTGAGGCTTGCTGTGCTTTGGTAGCCTGTTGATTACTCTTCATGTCATCAACTCAATATGTAATTGAATCTCTAAACCCTGGAATATTTCTCTGCAAATGTCTGCAGTCATGCTGATAAGTAGCAGAGTTGGAATTGGATGTACTTATCATGCTTATAAAAGACACTATGTCATCTGCTGAAATTCAAGGGTCAGTCCTAGAGGCCCCAGGGTCTGCAGTTTAATTCATTTGTTTGGTTTGATTTGGGTCATGCCTCCTGTCTTTTTTTTTTTTCTCAAAGATTTATTTATTTATTCATACAGAACTAGGCTACAGCCAGAGATGCAGGGGTGGTGAGAGACTTCACCAGAGCAGAGTGGGGAGCAGAACAGGCAGATTGATAAAGTACACTGCTGAGGGGAGCAGTGGGTGGGTCAGGAGAGGTCTGCCACGCTATGGTGGGGGCCTGGGATCAAACTTGCACTGCTAGCTTGCAGTGCTGCATCCTAACCTGTTGTGCCACCAAGGAGGGAGGGCTCACCCCCTGTCTTTTTTAAATCTTTTCTCCTGGGTCACTAATTTCCTTCCTTCCTTGCCATCTTCTCTCACTTCTTCCTCTCCCTTTTTGCACCGTTGACATAAATTTTTCTTTTGGGGGAGGGTTTAGGATATTGTTTGGGAAAGTACATAAATGACAGTTTTGATTTATAGTTTGGCTGGGTATAGAATTCTAAGTTGAAAATAACTTTTCAGAATTTTGACGGCATTGCTCCATTGTTGGCTACTTACACTACTGTTATTGAGAAGTCTGAACTGAGAAGTCTGAACTGTTGTGGTTATTATCCTTTGTGTATGAGCTATTTTTTTTCTTTCCAGAAACTTATAGAAACTTCTCCTTATTTTCATGTTCTGAAATATCACTGGTAGACCTTGTGAAGATCTACCTTCATGTGTTGTGCTAAGTACTTGATGACTCCTTTCAACCTGAAATCTATTCCTTTAGTTTGGGAAATTTCTACTTTCCTCTGGAACTATTATTTTGATGTTGGACCCCTAAACTGTTCTGCTTATTTTCTTTTATTTTTTCTCCTGCATTCCAATTATTTATCTTTTTTAATTAAAAAACTAACATTTATTGCTAGTTTATTAATAGTTTTTTGAAAGCAGCATCAACAATATTAATATAAAGAAGAGAAGAATATTCTAAGTAAGTCTGATTGTACCAGTGGTGACATTGTAAAGCAAACTTAATTACTTTGTGATTCACACACAATTTCTGCTCCAGGAAATGTCCATTCTCCTATGCAGCAATAAATTCCAAATGAAGATTACAAATCTGGGAAACAGTAAATTACTCTATGAAATACATAAGGAAGATTCAGTAGGTGTAAGAAGTATCATTTTTTAGCTATTCTTTCAGGTATTATTAATAAGCCAAAGATTAAATTCACAAGTTTATTATAAGTAGAGCTTTTTGTGTCAATACAAAATTGTGACATAATTTAGTAAAATACATATGTTACTAGGCACAAATAATATTTAGAGCCATTAACTATAATCCCAAATCTTGAGATAGTGATGTTAACCAAAATAAAAGTCTGAATGGTAGTTAGACAAAGTTTATTAGATCATTTAAGTGAGGATTTAAACCTGGGAAACAGCCTTTACTTTGTAAGAGCTGCTCTGATAATTACAAGTTCTGCCTATTTACCTTGTTACAGAGTGAGTCACTGATCAGAAAAATGTAATTATTCTTGAGAATGGCTTCTGATTTTCATGGGTAGGTTTAAATCTTTCAGTGTCCTAAGTTCTCTTGCCGTCTGTGTGCAGAGAAGGGTAAAGGCTGGGGAGTAATCACTTTCCTGACTTCTGAAGAACATCATGGAGATGCAAAGGCTAGAAACTTACTGCTAATGTCTACTTTGACTGGCTCCCGGGTCACTAGTGAAGGTTGGAAGTTTTGTTTATCCATAGGCATCAGGCAGATTCTTATGTGACTTCTTCATGGAATACAGCCTGTTCTGACATCGGCTATGCAGATGGCTGTTCTGCTTGATAGGGCAGGGAGGCGGGGGTCCTGGATCACTCTCAGTGTCCTCACAGTGAAATAACTAAGAACGTGTTCTACTGGTTAGTCTAATGCTATTCAACTCTTCTTGAAAAATGAAACAGTACAAGCTGGACCTGTCATATTTTCTTTCTGTGCCTTTGGCCCTTTCCATCTACCTGAAAGAGCAAAACAAAGACAACACAGCAATAGTTGCTGTGTGAACATTCTGCTGACCCCTCACAGACAGCAAACCAGAATACACAGGGCAAAAAGATGCCACCGGTTCAGGGTGATTAAACTGTCTCCATCTTGTGGCTGAGATGCCATCTTACTGAACTTTCAACTTAAAAAATGCCTTTTTACTGACTGGCAAGAACTGGTTACTAGTTAGACTCAATTTTCTCTGATAATTGTGTAAAAACAACTTCCTATTTTTTTAATTTATACATACAGAACTGGGGTACAGGCCAGAGGTGCAGTGATGGTGAGAGGACTCACCAGAGTCAGGGTGGGGAGCAGACAGGCAGATTGACAAAGCACACTGCTGAGGGGAGCAGCGGGCAAGACAGGAGAGGTCTGTCGCGCTGTGTGGGTCACCTCTGGGACAGGGATCGAACTTGGACTGAAGTGTCCATGGCCAGCTTTGCAGTGCTGTGCTTTTACCACTGCACCACCAGGGAGGGCCAACAATTTCCTCTTTCTTCTCTTCATAGTAACCAAGGCCATATTGACTGAAAGATAGTGAATTGTAAGAAATATAATTTCTTTTCCAGTTCTCACTAATTCTATCTTCTTCCCTCCATCTTTTCTTCATTCAAACTGCCCCTCCTCCCACTCCTCCCAAGACCCCAGTGGGACACATTTTGCCCTAATACCTGAATTTGTGCTACCTGGTTTTTAATTTAAGGCCCCAAATAAACATCTCTTGATGTCTTTCTCAGTGGACAAAACTGTCCCCATGGGAGAACTACTGGTAAATGCATGTTGTGGCCAAAACAGATTCAACTCCCACACATGCTCCACCTCACGCAAGGCTTAGTGGCTCTGGGAAGACAGGGCAGTTTTCCTTTGTGAAGCATTACCAGGCAGCAACTTTCCTTTTAGTTAAACCATGAGAGTGTTTTTCTCTGTCTTTAAGAATGTACCCCAGTTCTGGCTACCCCAGTTCTGGTGTGTGTATACCGGGCTCCTCAAAGCAGGCTGGATTTTCCTTTAACACAAGAAAAGTGTTGACTCATTTAAATAATTTCCCACTATGAAAAGGAAGCAATGGAGTCAAATGAAAATGTGGTTTGTGCTTCATATGCCTGAGAGTATTTCAAAAAAGAATTTCCTACTTCCCCTAAAGATACTCAGGCGCCAAAAAGGAACACTGAGCAAGCATTTGTAAATAAACCTTCATACTAAATAATCCTTTACGAAAAGCAACTAGGAGCGAAAGTCATACTCAAGTCTATGTTGTCAGACAAAATCTTAACATAAGTGAAAATTGAAGATTTGGCCAGTGGCAACAAGTATTTTACCTAAATCTGAGTAAGTTTGCATAATTTAAAAATGACTGTGAATAAAGCTAAATTTCTACACCAATCTTTTATAACCATCTTCCATTGTAAACTCTCATCAACTAAATTCAATTACCTTCAGGATAACACTGTTCTCACTTCCTCTTTTATCCACTTAGAACATCGCTGGCAGGGAAGAAAGCACATTAGAGTTTTCTTTTTCCCAGAGACAATTCAGCTTCACTAAATCAGAGTTTCAGCTGACCTTGGCGCATGGGCAACTATTTGCAATCACAGAATTTCAGTTTGCTCTCTTTAAAAATAGACAGAATTTTTGTATTTCTGATGTTGACAGCTCTTTCACAACATTCTGACTGGGATGCATAACCTGTAGCCCATTTTTCTGAACAGAACCCCTGTAACTTCTGGTTAGCGGCTGGGTGGCAGCCAGCCATCAGCTTTTTTTTTTTTTTTTAAGATTCATTTATTTATGCATCCAGAACTGGGGTACAGGGCAGAATCGTGGGGATTGAGAGGATTCACCAGAGACAGAGACAGAGCAGAACAGGCAGATGTACTGAAATACACTGCTGAGGAGAGCACAGGGAAGATAGGAGAGGTCTGTCACGCCAGGTGCGCCACCTCCCTGGCTGGGGATTGAACTAGCACTGAAGCGGCATAGCTAGCTTCATAGTGCTGCACTTTAACTTGTTGCGCCACCAGGGAGGGCCCAGCCACCAGCCTTTTTTAAAAAAAGATTTATTTATTTGTGCATACAGAACTGGGGTACAGGCCAGAGGCTCAGGGGCGGCGAGAGGCTTCACCAGAGACAGAGTGGGGAGCAGAACAGGCAGATTGACGAAGTACACTGCTGAGGGGAGCAGTGGGCGGGTCAGGAGAGGTCTGTCACGCCATGTGGTCACATCCGGGGCAGGCGGGAATCAAACTCATGTGGAAGTGGCTTTAGCTTCTCAGTGCAGTGCTTTAACCCGCTGCGCCACCAGGGAGGGCCAAGATTTATTTATTTTTAACGAGAACATCCTCAGTGGCATCACAGGTAGCCCTGACTCTCCGGTCAGATGACCTACTTGTAAAATGCACGGTCAGCATGAACAGGGGCCACTCTCTTGCATTGAGTGATGACCTTGGACCCTGTGTTAGGGCCTAGCCACAATCAATGAGGCTATTCTTGTCCTCACAAAGTCTCTTTTGTACTAACTGGCTGCATCAGCAATTGTTAAACTGAGGCTCGGCAAAGAACTGGAGGCATGTGTTCCCTCTCCATTACCAGCAAACCAGATCTCCAGCCTGCCATGGAGCTGAGCAAGGAAAACACTGGATACAGGTGGTTCCCAGCTCATTAACCCAATGGAGCCACAGCTGTCCCAGAGCCAGGCCCTGGACCTTTAGAGGAAAGTTTAAAGGCTGGATGATAGCTCCATAGCTCTACCCAAACCTTTGTCATGCTGTGTTCCAGCTGCTCAGTGCATCAGCTCTGGGCACCTGGTGAAGCTGCTTCCCTGACACTGATGTTGCGCACAGCTCTGCCGGATGCACTGATGACCCAGTTGAGAAGTCCCCGAATCTCTCTGCTGGTCCTATGGTTTAGAGGGCCACAGCACAGACAGCCGGGACAGGCCCCGCGCTGACAGTGCCCAGGGCAGGGTGGGCCATGTTAGGTAGGAGTGTGTGTTTTGGGCACAAAACAATTTCCTCTTTCCTCCACTCCCTCCTTTTTATTCATGGCATTAAAAAAAAAAAGATTTATTTAAGCATACAGAACTAGGGTGCAAGCCAGAGGTGTAGGGGTGGTGAGAAGACTCACCAGAGACAGAGTGGGGAGCAGAATAGGCAGATTGACAAAGTACACTGCTGAGGGGGGCAGCAGGCGAGACAGGAGAGGTCTGCTGTGCATGTCGGTCATTCCCTGGCTGGGGAGAGAACTTGTAAAGCAGCTGTGGCTAGCTTCACAGTGCTGAGCTTCAACCTTTTGCCCACAAAGGAGGGCCTATTCCTGGCATTCTTGATACACTGTCTGCACTGGACTTTGCACACACAATGATGATTAGGAGTCTTTTCCTTTGTTGCTCTCCATTCTGCTTAAATTGTGGCTAGGTTTCAGGGTGGGGTTTCTGATGCATGGCCATGGCTCTTTTCATGATTCCAGAAGCAAACAGAGCAGTCCTGCCCAGGTGAGGTTTGTGCCTACCAGCCACAGCTGCTGTGAGCTTGTGGGGTGTTGGCCGGCCCTTTGCTGAAGGTTCTTATTCTCTGAGTTTTTAAAAGATGTTCTCTTTCCTAGCTGTGGTGTTCTGTTTTCCAGATGTTTCTGTTTGTTTTGCTCTGTCTCCTGTTTTAGAGGTCGTCCAGGTCATCCAGCACCTGGCTGGATGCTCCTGAACAAGGACAGGGACCTGAGTGGGTTGGGGGCATGGTTTATTGATGTTGAGTTACACTTCTGGGTCACTTGGAATGGCTAGCTAATCAGGAATCAACAGTATGAGTATCTAACTTGGGCTAGTTAGAGCCCCTAGATTTCCTGGCTTTTTTTGGAAGGTGAAGCTGGGGTGGGGGGAGGGCCAAAAGCATCTAGCACATTTGTGGTATGACACCCACTTCCTCAGGTGTGCTTCTAGTTTCAGGCCCCAACTCTTGTTTTGCTTCCTTCAGTCTGTAATGGCTGGGATGGAGGAGGGACCCAGGGACCTTGCTAAAACAATCTCCTTTCTCTTCTGCTTTCAGAGGTTCCTGCTGTTGTCAACAGATGATCTTCTCCAAGAACTCTGTTGTATAATTTGAATCCTTAGTTTTTCTCTGCTGTGTTCTTCACCTCCTTATGGAATCATGTCTAAAACATTTTCTTTTCCTTTCAGTGGGTTTTCAGGAAAAAGTGAAATTTGACATATGTTCAAGTTATATCCTGAAACTTATTCTTAATTTTGCAACACTTTCCCCTGGTCTAAGCAATCCAAGTGAGCTCTCCTTGTAATTTCAATATAATATCACTGCTGCGCCATGTGGGTCACCTCCTGGGCCCGGGGAATCGAACTCTCACTAAAGTGGCTGTGGGGAACATTTAGTACTGCGCCACCAGGGAGGGCCTACTACTCATAGTTGAATCACTTAAGAACACCGTTAGGAGTCTTGGCAGGAAGTGTGCTTGGGGTTCAGTCCTGAAAAAGACCAGGGAGGTCAGAGGGTATTGAATATCAACAGTGATTCCTCCTCAATTTCACACTTGCTTCAAGGGCTCTGCCTGGGCCAAGCAAACTTTCAAGCACCCTGGCTTCCTCTTTCTGGCCTTCCCACAGCACTGCCTGGGGGTTGAGGTGCTTTAAATACCCACAGGGTGAATCAAGTGCCCATTCAGGCCCATGTGTACTTAAGGCCAGCAAGCCCACCCACTCACTCTTCCCCTCCCAGCCCTCTGCTCCCCATTTCCCTGCCAATATTTGTTGACTACTGAGTTTGTCAATGAGGCCAAGGCGCATATGAGACTTCCTGAGCTGGATGTTTCTGTTGTATGTACAGCTTGTGCTTGTTTCTGGGGAGTCTCATCTGCCCTCCTCTCTTCCAGGTCAGAGACGCTGTCACAGCGGTTGGCATCGCCGGTATTGGCTTGGCTGCGGCGGCCCTCATCGGAGTCATGTTCTCAAGAAACAAGCGACAGCAGCAGTAACTTGAATGTCTGTCAACAATAATTTTGTCCACTAAGGGAATCTTTTTTTTTCTGGGGGGGTTTGAAGTTTGCTTTTTGGATTTCATTCTGTTTTATAATAAGGCTTATTTTCACAGAATAGAATAAAGCCCCCCAGAGAGGGTTTTATTAGATAAAATGCAGCAAGAACTGCGTGGTGTGAAGTCTGTTGGAGGGACAGCTGGGCTTCCTTTCTGGTGACGCCAGGTTGTAACTTGGCCCTGCAGGCATTTTCTCTCACCTTTGCTGCATTCTTTACCTTGCCGGGAACAGAATCCAACTCCCAGCTATTTCAAGGAATGGGCGGTTCTGCTTATTAGATAGCATGGGCATCCTGACTGACTAATGCCAGCGCTTGTCCAGCACCTGCCCTCAGATGGCTTCAGGAACTCAGTAGCTGGAGCCTGTGATGTCAGGTACCAATAATAACCAAAGCAAATGAAACTTGCCGTAAGGACACTGGCTACATGTTCTCACAAACCTTGTTAAAACCTTGCTCACCTCCTCTGCAAATCCTGTCTTCTGCCTCGTGTCTCCCGCCCCCAGTGCCCCTTGTGTCTTCACTACTTGGGTTTGCATGACCTCCCAAGTCTGAGGACCCCCTACCCCCACCCAAGTCTTGGAACCTGTCTCCCACATCAGCTCCCTCCAGTCCTCCTAGAGCTCAGGGATCCAGGACTCCCAGGTCAAAAAGTTTCTATGAGTGAATCTGATTGGCTTTGCTCGCCACATCGCTCTGCCTGCTCATTGGCTGCCTCTGGGTCACGTGTCTCTATTAGGCCAATCGGCTCTGCCTGGTGGGGCCCAGACATGTGGCTCAAAGGTCCTGCACACCTGAAGGGTGGGCCGTTGTTGGCTTGTGAGGGACGGCCCTGCTGCGGGACCCTGGTGGGGCGGGAGGCGGTAGGAGGCAGGGCTGTCAGGGCTGCTCTCTTGAGCTCTACGGCTACTGCCATCTGTGCTTGGTGGCTGTTCAAAACGACATTTCTCGGAAAAGGCCTTCTGCTGGCTTTTGCTCCAGCGGGCAAGACTTTTCCTCCATCTGGGTGGGAATGTTTCCTTCCTTATACCTAGTTGCTTGGAAACCATCTCTGTTGTGCTCCTGGACGGAAAGTCCAGGTGGCTGCTGTCCAGCTCCCGCCTGCTTGGCTCATGTATGGTCCAAGATAAATATGTGCCTGGCTACTTCCCACTTGTTGATAGAAGTAGTTTTTTCTCAGGACACTTTCGTTTCTCTTTGCCTCAGCTCTGCTGATGTAACATCTCAGTTCTTCATGTCAGTTCTCCAAGAGGCACAGAGGTCACTCAAGGGCTGGTCTCTGCAAGCTCCCCTCTCCTGCTCCCATGGCCTAAGGTAAGGGGCCACATAGAAGTGTAAACCCCCAAACTAGTTATGGAGAAAAAAAGGAATGAGGAAAAATAAACATAAGAAAACAAGGAGTCCCTATTCAACTAATAATAAAAAAAAAGGTAAAAAACAGCATACAAAGGTTGGGATATGTAAAAATAATCAAAAAGATGAGAGAAGTAGGGCCCTCCCTGGTGGTGCAACAGGTTAAACAAAGCACTATGAAGCTATTACAGCCACTGCAGCATGACTTCCATCCACGACCAGGGAGATGACCTCTCCTGTCTTGCCTGCTGTAGTGTGTTACAGTAGATCTGCCTGTTCTGCTTCCTGCTCTGTCTCTGGTGAATTCTCTCATCCTCTGCACCCCAAATCTTCAAAAAAGAAAAAAGGTGATTACCCAGGTATAAGGGTAATCACCACAAATAAACATGAACTGAATTTACTAAGTAAAAAAGAAACACTATGCAGGATTCAAATTAAATCCAGAAAACACAGTTTGGAGCAGATACCTTGACATGTAAGGACACAAAGACTGAAATGAAAGCACAGACACGTTACATGAAAGGAGTCTGATTTACGCATACATTAGTGTCACTGAGGAAGAACTAGAGGCTGTGTGGAAACCACCATCCTTTGAAAGACATGTTAGAGGTTAACAACAACATGTGAAAACAATCTTGAAAGTAATTTGGAATAATGGGAAATTTAAAGAGGGATGGAGTATTAAAGAAACTCACAGAATTATTGCTTTGTGTGATAACGGCATTAGACTCATGTAAGATCATGACCTAATATAGAGGCATCAAACAAGAGATCAGGGAAACAAAAAAGTAACTATCATAAAGTTTAATCAAAATCATCAGGCAACTATAGATCAGAGACATTCTGTAGAGGAGGAGGAGGGGGGAGAAGGGTCAGGACACGGGAAGAGCACGGGACCATGGTGCTGCACACCCTTCCCAGGGTGGCCACGCTCTCTGCTCTTGGTTGATTTGACGGGCACCTCGTAAGATTCGGCTGCTGTGACTGACTGACCAGGCAGTTCTGACCCCGTATAGGGATGCAACAAAATGGTGGTCAAAAAGGCCGCTTAGGATTAGCAGACCCACAGGAATTAGTTCTTGCTTGGAGCCGTGAGGAAAACGTGGGTCAGGGCCAAGCATGGTGTCTGCCATGTTGGGCTTTGCCAGCAGCAGCTCTGTAACTCTCAGTATCACACAGAGCAGAAGGGAAGGGTTCAGACCTGGGACCAGTCCCAGACTGACACACACACACACAAACTGTGTAAAATGCACACACACACAAACTGACACCCTGCTCCCCACTCAGCCACACCACTCAGCAGACCCAGATAAGGGAGGGGATCCCCACCTGTAGGAGAAGAGCCTCTTTCTCTCTATTTGTGGCTGGTGATGAGCAGACCCTGTAGGCTGGGCTGGGCTCCTTGCAGGTTCTGGGGTGTCTCCTGTGAGGGCTCACCTCTGCTTTTCTGTTGCAGGACAAACTAAAACCAAGGCCTGGGGACCTGTTTGAGATTTTTTCACTTCAGCTTCCACCACTGGGCTGTCTATGTGGGGTTCCCTGGCCCATCCTAAGTAAAGATGGGGCCTCTGCTAAGTGCAGGCATGGGCCTGGCGAGTAAACAGCCGCTTAATTATGACATGTGTGGAGAAAGAGCACTGTTGGTGGGTGTAGGCACTGGTGTCATTTTGGAAAGCAATGTGGGCTCACCTTGAAAAATTAAAAATAGATATACCACACGGCCAGCTGTCCTACTCCTGGGCATCTATCCAGAGAACATGAAACCATCAACTGAAAGACACCAGTGTGCAGAGTTCATTATGGTGCTGTGTACATCACTGGGACATGGAGGCGAGTGACTGTCCATCAGCAGAAGGTTGGAGACGGTCCTACCTGGTGGCCGAGGCCCTTGTAGGCCTCCTTGATATTTGTAAGCTCCTCCCTCTCAGTAGCCAGTAAGGGCTTAGAACTTAACCCCCTGTGTCAATCAGGAGAGCAGGGAGAACAGCGCCTGAGGTGGAGGTTGTGTGGGGCAGGGGTTTCTGCTGCCTAGAGTTGTGCAAGTGCAACGGGCTGACAGAGCTGAACTCTGAGATGAGGATCACCTGCGGCCCCTCCGCTCATCTCCTCACTCACCAAGTATTGACTGAGCTCCTACTTGGGGGCCCATCTGTGGCAAGATGGCTACAATGGGTGCCACTGTAGGCCTTGTTGGGGAGAATGAGGAGAGGCATTATGTGATGTGTCCAAAGGCTGAACAAAATGAAGGAGGATGTCAGGGTGGCAGTTGGAGTTGAGAAGTTAGTGTGGTTGGGGGTGGCCTCCTAGCAGGTAGTGTGTGAGTGGGGTCATTGGAGGGGGGCCCTTCGCACTGACAGAAGCAGTCCTAGATCCTTTTTCTCTCTCGTTCCTCTCCTTATAAATAAATTTTTTTTGTTCTTTCTGATTCTCTTTGTTTGGTTTCTGCCTGGCAATCTTAAGTGTGAATATGAGGGCTGCAAGCCTCGTTACCCCCATTTCCCCTGGGTTGCCTCGCAACTCATCTACGCACTGCAAGTGGCATTACCCCATTCAGGAACCCTGAAATAGTGTCATTTTGGTCTCAAGTTTTATTCTGGTGACTTTCACTTACTAACATCGTGTATCTTGAGGTGGCGCAATTATCAATTCTCCATTCAGGAAAGAGGCGACATGAGAGATGAAGGAAGGTTACAGGCAGGGAAGGCCTGCGAAGACTTCTCCCTGGGGCTGCACAGCTGTTTTGCGTGGCTCTCAAGGCCGTCACTGGTCAGAACAGATTCTTCCAGGCAGAGTACACACCGTGACAAACTGCTCCAGGCACATTCTGTGTCTGCTGTGCCTGAAAGTGAACAGATCACGGTCAGTGTCCTAGAAACCCTGGCCAATTCTCTGTCTTCCCAAGGCGCAGAGACCCCTTCATTCTGTCTCTCCTGCTCCCTTCCACTGGCCAGCTCAGAAGCCTCTCCCAGGGACTGCAGTGGCTGAGCTCCAGATGTTTCCTGTGTGATAGGACCCTGTGACCACCTCTGCATTGTGGAGTGTGTGGTCTATGTAGTCTGAAAACTGGCTAGATGGACTCATGGAATATTGTTGGCTGGACTTCCTGGGGGAGGATTTAGGTGGGCGGGTTGGCAGGGAAGGGGTTTGTGCCTGGGTCCCTGGACTCAGGCTCCAGGGGGAGACTCTGGGGCCAGGATATGGCTGGTGGGGGGCCCTGCAGAGGGCGGGACTGAGGCAGGAGCTAAGGGAGATTTCAGGAGCCTCTGAGGGGCACTTGGGCCATGTGTCCTGTGACCTGCTCAGGGCACAGTGTGGAAACTTCTATCTGCAGCCCAGCTCAGCCCCGACCTCAGGCTCCAAAGTCCACTTGCTGCTCAGCATCTCCACTTGGATATGGAGCTGTGTGGTCACACCTGTCCCAGGCCCAGACTCCCCACTTCCTCCCCAAATGTGCTTCCCTGGCACTCCCCCTCCTCCAGGTGCCCCCTGCCTGGTCAGTGTGGGACCCTGGGGGTGCAATCCTGTGTCTGCGAGAAGCTCCATGTGCAGAGGCACAGTTGGGGTGGGTACTGCCTAGTCCCCTACCCGTGAGTTTTGGACAATAAACATGGGAGACTGGGGTGGAGGGAGTGGAGTGGCAGGTGGGAAGTAGAAGTTGAGTTCTAGATCCTATCGAAAATGTGCTGGAGTTTATATAGGGGCCCCCAAACCCCAGCCTCCTTGCCTGAGCGTCCTGAAGCCACAGGAGATTTGTGGTCTGCAGGGGCCCCCGACTCCCCCTGACAACCCATGGAACCTCAGGAGCTGTGCTGGGAGCTGATTGTAGAAGTAAATGAAGCCAAGTGAGAGGCGACGAGGTCTCAGAGTTTCTCCATCCAAGTCATGGGGAAACAGGCCCAGAGGGTGGTGGCCTGGCCAAGGCCACCAGTGGGGTGGAAGCAGATCCAAGATCACAGCTCACCACCCTGACTCCCTGAGAGCCTGCGTTATGTCATCTGTGGTGACTATTCCCTGTGGCTGCCGTGTCCTGCCACCCCACGCATACCCAAATCCAGGAGAGGCAGGATCACCCTGAAGAGCCTTACCTGCGCACTGTGGGCCACGCCGTATCTCAGATAGGTGACAAAGTGCTCACAGTTCCACTCCTTACTGTTGTACTCCATGGTTTGGTTGATAACCTCCTCGGCGGATTGGAGGATCTTCTTCAAAAGACGGGGTCTGCACACGTTGTCCAAGTAGTTGTTGATCTCATATTTGGAGTCTCCCACCACTTTTGCCAGGAGCTCCCGCTTCACCACTGCTCTGGTGTCAACAGAGGAGGCCAATATGAAGAAGCCGGCGTTAGAATCTACATCTGGAATAGAGATACCATCACCAGGATGCAGGGAAGGCAAAGTGGGGAGGGGGGAGGGGTAGTGGCCCAGCGGGGCGAGAGGGACAGTGGGTCAATTATTGAGATTTTGGGTTGGTCCTCTCTCAACTGTGATCTGAGGAGTCACATATTTTGCTTTTTATTTATTTATTTTTTACAAGGCTATTTATGTGGTACAGGTTAGAGGTGCAGGGAATGTGAGAAGATTCACCAGAGACAGAGTGGGGAGCAAAATAGGCTGACTGACGAAGTCCACTGCTGAGGGGAGCAGCGGGGGAGACAGGAGAGGTCTGCCGCGCCCTGTGGGCCACTCCCTGGCGGGGGATCCAACTCATGCTGAAGTGGCTGCGATAGCTTCCTAGTGCTGAGACTTTAACTCCTGTGCTACCAGGGAAGCCCTCCTTTTTAAATCTCCATTTACCACCAAGAACAACACCACCAATCTTTTCTGACAGCAAATACTCATGAGCAGGGATTCCGCCTGTTGCTGCTTTGCTTTCACCCATGGCCCATATTTGCACTCAGCATCCGTCCCCTTAGGAAGATCTGTCCACAGCCTGAGTATCAGGCCCAGAGGCACTCACACCCTTACTCATGCTCGCGCTCCCAGACCCCTAAGTGTCGGCTGGAGGAAGTGGACTTTCCTATCAAATCAGACCTTTTTATAACTCTATAAAAGTGGATGGTGCTGGTAGAATGAGTGAGAGGTTGAATACATTGCTGTGATCTTGTTGAATACTTTAGATCAGACACAGTGCAAATGCTGGTGGATGTGAACGAACAACTTGGTGTCCATGCTGCTTTTGTGTTTCCTTTACTGACCACACACACACCTACACATGCACGCACACGAGGCCACACCTGTGCCCGTTCCCTGCATCTACTTTCAACTGATTTGTGAGCCTGATGCTTTTCTTGTTAGAAAGTTAAATACATCATTCATAAATACTCACTATGCTTTTGTACGAACTTTTCTTTTGATGCACAAACCTTCTTGAGATAGGATTGAGCTGGTGGTTTCCAACTACAAAGATGGCAGCCACTTGGACAAGGTCTACAGATCCCTTCTTGTTGCTTCTGTTAAGAAAGACTAAGTAGGGGCTTCCCTGGTGGCCTAGGGGTGAGGTCTCGGTGCTATCGCCACAACAGCCTGAGTTCGGTCCCAGCCAGGAAGGTGACCCACATGGCCCAGCAGACCTCTCCTGTCTCCCTGCTGCTCCCCTCAGCGGTGTTTCAGTAGATCCGCCTGGTCTGCTCCCTACTCTGCTCCTTACTCTATGTCTAGTGAGTCCTCTTACCCACCTCCATGCACCTCTGGCCTACACCCCCATCTCTTCTATGCAAAAATAAGTTAAAAAAAAAAAAAGGACTAAGTAAATGCCATGAATTCCCCTTGCTCGTCAGATCAATGAGAACAAACGTTGACTGAGAAACTGGGTTACACAGGAGCCTCCTGTGGCTGGGTGGGGCCCATTGATCTCTCCCCCTAGGTCAGGGCCTGGTGCTGTGGAGATTTGGGGAGGCTACAGCCCCCTCCAGGAAGGAGCCCAGGAGCTTCTTTCCTGCTCCTGGCAGGACCTGGGGACCCAGAGATGGCCCAGGGACAGGGCAGCAGGTGCTGCTCAGCTCTGCTCAGGGGGAGCCCCTGGCTCTGCCGGCTCACGACTGTCCACTGTTCTCATTACGCTTGTGCTTATCTCCTTACTTGCTAAACCCAGGTGAACGATATGATCATCTCCCACGTAGAGGCCCCAGTGCTGATAGCCGGGACGGAAAATCTCAATCAGGTCTCCAGGTTTGGGTTCTTTCAATAACTGTAACAGACAAAAGGACATGGTAGGGACAGTTTCCTGGCAACAGAGGCCCTGGCTGGTGGCTGCATTTGGGCCTGGGGTCCTTGTTTTTATCACCTGGTGAGGGTCTGAATGGCGAGCGCTCCTGTCCCTGTGGGGCCTTCATCCTTGTAACTCTAGAGTTTCCCCCACCAGTTGGGGCAGGAAAGCTGGAAAAGATGACCCTGTGGAAGGGGAGGGTGGGCTTGTCCAGGTGTGCTGCACAAGGCTCTCGCGTACACATGGCCGATACGGGAATGTTGCGCATGCGTGAATGTGCATGCACACACATGCATGGGTTGCGTGTCCATGCATGTGCTGTCTGTTGTGTGTGTGTTGGTCTAATGATTCAGATGTGCATGCACAGCCGAGTGAGCTGGCACCACAGCTGCAGGGAGCCGTGTTACAAGGCACCCAGCAGAGTGGGGTAGGAGACCCTGGGCTTGTGGGCATTCCTCCGCATCGCTCCCCCTGCCCTGGGTGTCACAGTAGCACCAGGCGCTTCATGCCTGGACTGTGACGTCCTCCTTTGGACAAGCTGAACTGAAATAAGACTGACAGCACTTTAATGGGACCCCAACTTTCCAGAGGGGTGGGGCTTACAAGTCTTGTTCCCTGACCAGGAGAAATTCATCCGTGGGGAGTCAGCCATCCAGGAGGAAACATTTTGCTTGTTTCTCTAGTGGACTTTTGTATCTCATTGCTTCAGCTATGTGTGACTTGCTCCTGACCCTTAGATTGGAAACACTGGCTTTGACCTTGTATGTATGTGTACAGTTCATTTCCTGTCTCTACTCCAGAGGCTTGATTTTACACAAATTGTTCCATGTGGAAGAAAGGGGGTCTTGTTTCTCTGTTCTCAAGATGATGTTTGACACTCATGGAGCCTTCTCAGCTTGCTAGGTTGCCAGGTCCAAGTCAGCATCTGAAGCCTCGTAGCAAAGTGACTTCCTTTTTCTCCTTTCAAGGTCTAAGTAAGGTTTCCAGAACTGTCTGAGGATGCACAGGGGGCTGCTCTGGTGTGGGTATCTTTGGACTCCACTCATCTGGAAGTCTCTTGTCTTCTTGTGCCTGAGTGTTTTCTTCCTACCTTGGATCAGGGAATTTTCAGTGATTGTTTCCTCCAACATATATTCTAGTCCTTTCCCCTTCCTGTTCCTCTTCCTTCCCTTCTTTTCTCCCCCCACTTCTTCTTCTAGGACCCCTATAATGTGAATATTATGCCTTTTGATGTTCCCCCGAAGTCGTTTTGGATATCTTCATTAAAAAATTCTTTTCCTCTGTCGAGGTGAGCTCTATTGATTTGTCTTCCAAACGCAGCACACACTCCTCTACTTCATGCAGTTTGGTGTTGAACCCTCCATTGTAAGTTTTGGTTCTTTTATTTTTCAGTCTGTCAGTTATATTTTAATGTTCCTTGAATTTTCCACTTAGTCCATTCTTTCCTGGGACCAGTGAGCATCTTATTACATTGCCTTGAACTCTTCCTCTGAGCTTGCTTATCTATCTCATTAGGGTCTTTCCCTGGAATTTTGGTTTACTCTTTCATCTGGGGCTTGGTCTTCAGTTTCCCTATTTTTTGTGATTCTTCACATGTGCTCCTATGTTTTAGATATTCTCTATATGTATCTAACAGGTACCTAGATGTATATCTAATAGTTACCTATTCTAGTTTGTAGGGTTTATGTAGGTGATGTCAGTCACGTGAAGCTAGAAGCACAACCCCTCTGAATGGGGTCCCAGTCCATCACTTGTCTATGTTCCACAGTTCTAGGCCTTCATTGGAGGGATGACACCATCTCGCATGAGCAGCCCTTAGTTTGGATACTGCAGACACTACATGCAGTAGGACAGCTGGCCAGTTGTGGCTTCGGACACGCTGTCCTTATCTCACTCGCCCCTTTAGAAACAAACCTGCTGTTGTTGCACCCTGAGCTTGAGTCCTGTCTTACATTGTGTACACATGGGTAAGAACCAACAACAGCGACCTGTCCTCCCGAATCTTTCTGTTTCAATTTCTATTCTGCATGTGTATGTGGGTAGAGGAGTGGGTATTGGGAGCACCGCCAGCTTTCCCATATGTCCAGCCCAGGGGAGGGTGACATCCCTAATCCTCAAGCCAAAGTGGTGGCTTTTGTGGTGACCATCATGGAGGGCAGCCACCTGGAGTTTCACTTAGTAGGGTCACTAGTGTGAAAGGTTGGGTGAGGAATCAGGAGAACTTGGCCACCTTGGGCACTGAGTCCACACAGGGAAAGCAGAAGTGGTGACTAGTGTTTTCTAATCCTCACCACGATCACTTACACTCTTCTCTTTTTCCCTTCTCCCTCCCTCCTAACCTGAGAGCCATCACCCCATGGTGAGCTCCAGGAGGGAAAGGGGTTATTCCCAAAGAGGGTGTACCTGCTTGGTACGAGCCACACCATATCTCAGATCTGCCACGAACTGCTCACTTTTCCTGCCTCGAACATGGTACGGCATAGCCTCGCCAATCTTCCCCTTCGCTGCCTTGAGGATCTGGTTCACAGGCAGTGGTCGGTACTTCTGATCCAGGTGGTTGTTGACTTGATAGTCACAGACCCCCACTATGTCCTTCAGGCGCTCCCGTTTCACCATTGCCCCTTTGCCCAGGACTGAGAAGATGGTGGAGGGGCCTATCACACGGCCGTCACCTAGAATCAGAGACACTGTCACCTGGAGCTGCAGGGAAAGTGAGGCAGGGAGGAGAAGGGACAGGACCAGAAGAAGAACAAGGGAATCCACTATTGCAATTTGTATTTACGCTATCTCAACTGTGATTGGAGGACTCAGACTCTGCTCTATCTAACAAGCTGTGACATTTTTTCATGTTAATGACATAGCCATTGTACACGGTGGCCATTGTATTCTGTGATGAGACCGTGTGTCATCTAATGACCAGCCTTCTGATGGGCAGCAGGAGGAGATGTCCAGTCATCTAATGACCAGCCTTCTGATGGGCAGCAGGAGGTGATGTCCAAAAACAATCTTATAAGCAGTGACAATAGAAATTTTTGTTGATTGTTAATCTTTGCCTACTTGTGTATTTCTGTGACAGATCAAATTTGTTTTAGCACTCACTGTGTTTCAGACACTAGCTGTATTCTTACTCATTATTTCATTGAGTCTCCTTAAACTATCATTTCTACTTTACAGCTAAGGCTGGGGCCGGAGAGACTCTGTATACATCGATGTTTCTCTATGTGGTAAGTCTAGAACCAGGATGTGAAAGTGTTTCTCTCCAGCCCCAAAGGCAGCCCCTTGACTCACTGGGAGAGCCTGCGGGCCTTCCACACCCATGTCTTCCTTCTCTCCTGTGACCTGGGCCAGTTCTGTGTCACATAGAAGGCCATAGAGGGGTCCCCAGCTTGTGGAGCCCCAAATCTGGGCTATAGTGAGTGAGTCCTCATTTATTTTCCTAGTTGGGAGATAGCTCATGAAGAGGTGTTGAACTTGCTGTTTATGTTGTGATCTTCAGACTGATGTTTGCTCCTGAGTCCATCCCCTAAGAAAATCCTCTCTCCACATCATGAAAGTTAGGCACAGGAGGATACATGTCCTTGCTCTCTTGTTTTCTCTTACAAACCCCTGAAGGGTCATCTGGATTTACTATTTACCATCAATTCAGAACTTTATACAACTTTATGAAGGTAGATGTTAGTGTTCTTGAATGTACGCACAGGTATTGCTTGTAGACAACAGGATGCTGCAGAGATCTGGGGAGGATGCAGCCCCCTCCAGGCAGGAGCCCAGGAGCTCCTGCTCCTGGCAATACCAGGGACCCCGGATATGGCTCAGGGGACAGGGAAGCAGGCACCACTCAGCTCTGCTCAGGGGGGAGCCCCTAGCTCAGGTGCGCATGCATCTGTTCTGAAAGTGTTTCAAAATATTTGAAAATTATACTTTTCAAGATCCTCACCTTGAGGAGCCAGATGGATCACATAACCACTTCCCTCAAAGAGGGCCCAGTGCTCGTAGCCATGATGAAATATCTCAATCAGGTCTCCGGGCTTGGGGTCATCATCACAGAACTGCAACAAAGACAGAGGTGATGGTAGTGGGTGTCAGGGAAAGAGAGGCCCTGGCTGTGTTTTGGGCCTAGTGGCCATCACCAGGGAAGTCTTCAGGGAGTGGTTGTTGGTGATGGGGACAAGCTCCTATCACCTCTGGGGTCTCACCCCTGCTGTCATGGTCTCATTCCCACAGCCTGAAGCAGGAAACTGGACATGACTATGGAGTAAGGGTGGGTGTGTCCTGCTGTATACGCCTGTAGGTGTGGGGAAGCACATGTATGTGTTCATGCCATGTGTGTCAGTATGTGTGTGTACCTGCGCTTGTATTCGGGGGCACTGACAATGCAGATGTGCACACTGCACCTGTCCCTGAGCTTGTGGACACCACGGCTGCGGGTGACCCCATCACTGAGGCAGGTGCCCCAGGGTCACCCAGCAGAGCTGGGTAGGTGATTCTGAGCTTGATGGCCCTGCCAGACCCTCCTTCTCATCTCCCCTCCTGTCTTGGCTCTCATGACAGCACCAAGTGCCTCTTCTTGTCCCTGACACCCCCTCCCAGAGACCCCCTTTCCCGGGATTGACAGCACTAACGGTCCAGCCTGCTAAGGCTCTGGGGCCCGTCCAGCTGCTGAGCCCACAGCGGCCTCCTGCAACTGCAGCCTGGCACAGCCCTGGGAGCAGCCTCAGCCCCTGAGAGGGGGAAACTGAGGTTCAGAGAGACCGGACCTGTCAGGAGGCCTAAGCTGGGAAGGGGCTGAGCAAGGTCTTCTCTGCATCTTCCTCTCCAGATGGGGCTCCCCAGCCTCTCCAGGCCTCCCACATCTCCTCCTGCCCCTCATGACCTTCCCCAGGGGGCTGCATCTTCTCTTTGTGAGAATGTTCCAGTGTTCCCCAGTCTGAGATGATCTCAGTGATGACAAACCTCCTCCATCCCTCACGCCAGGGCGTCTACTCAGAGACAGGGTCAGCTCCCCAGTGCCACCTTCTTCAGCCTATACCCATGTACTATGGGGACCCTGGAAAAGTCTTCTGGTCTCTCCCCCCCCCCATCCTAGGTTCTGTCTCTCTCCAGTCTCCATGACCCCCAGTCTCCTATGGAAACTCCCTGCCTCCCTTCCCTCCCACCCATGCCCAGGGTCCCCAGGACCCGTTGACCTTCCCAAAGGGCACACTGGCCAGGACCTTGTTCTGTCAGGCCCGGGGTAGGCCCTCTGAGTAGCTCAGACCCTTAGGACGGCCCTCCTCCCCTTCCTGGGCTCTGCCCCTAAGGCTGAGGGGTTCTTTTCTCTCCCCACTGAGCTGGCTCATGTCCCCTCTGCCCACCTGCTGTCTCTGTCCCCACCGCCCTCCTCATGAAACCAGGGCCCCACAGGGTAGACTGAGGAGGAGACTGACATTTTCCCATGGTGCCCAGTGGCAGTTTCACTGTCTGTGGCTAAAGTTGCTGCCTATTGGCAGCTTCTCCCGGGGTGTCAGCCATGGGAAAATGGTCCCATCGGGTGGATATCAACTAGGGGGCGGGGAGGTGTAGGGAAAATGGAGATAAATCAGGCTTGTTTCCACCCCTTGCTGATGCCCTGTATGGCCCACCCCTGCGGCCTGTCATGCCTCCTAGGTGGTGTGACCAGTGTGGGTGTGGGACATCAGGCCAGAGAGCTTGGGGTGTGTATGCTGTAAATGTAGATGCCCAGGCCCAGGATGGGGCTCTCAGCTCTGGCGATGAGGCCATTGGGGCTGGGGGCCCAGCGGCTGTCTCCCCACCTGCTAGTGTGTCTCTTGATTTTGCATCAAAGGCCTGTAACATGGTGCTGGGCGCTCCAGCATTCTCCTGTCTGCAAGAGGTGACAATGATGGACCCTGGGATGGTGCTAAACAGTGGCGGACCGGAGCGAGATTATAATGGTGTGCAGGAGCCATTTGGGGCACCAAGACACCTGGTTCCCTCGCACTATTTCTGGCCTCTAAAGACAGAAGAAACATCCAACAGCCAAGCTCTGACCTCAGAAAAACAAACTGAAGTGCCTGGGAGGTGGCTGCCCCGCCTCCCTCCTGCTGCTGCTGAGGAAGAGCCACAGGCTGGCCCTGTGCCTCTGAGCCACTGGATGTCCTGGAGCCGCTGCCTACTTGTCCCCTGGTCCAGCACACAGTGCCATTCCTGCCTTCAGCTGGGGCTGCTGCATGTTCTCTCAGCAGCTTGCCCGCGAGTCCCCCCTGCTGTGGCGGGTGGGGTCCTGGCCTGTTGCTTGCTGTCTGCCCTGCCTCAGGCCCTCGTTGGCAGTGGGGCTGATGCAGTCACAAAGCACTGGGCTCTCAGATAAGCATTACCAACTCTGTCTTTGCCCATGTCTTGCCAGCCCCCTCTTGTTTGAGGTTTGTTTTCTTGCTTTCCAAGGAAAATGATTTTCAAGAGCAGCTGTTGAAGAAAGCAAGCTGGCACCCACCCGGCCCTGCCCCCACCCCTCTGCAGACCCATCTTCCCGCTTTGTATAAATAACCCTGCAACCTGCCAAAGAGCAGGACGGGGCCTTTTGGACATGAATCTGCTGCCCTCCTCATCTGTCGACAAATTAAGCCACTTTCCTTTTTCTCAAATTTTGTTTCATTTCATTGGCTGAGGGAAAGTGAGGCCGGTGTTTGGTATCACAGCAACCTTTTGTTTGGGACTTGGGGACACTGTGCAGGTGCTAGAGGTAGTGAGCTCGCCAGCACCTGAGGGCCTTCCGAACTCTGTCTGTTAAATCGCCCCCGTGGCTGGTTTACCTTGAACCTGAGTGGTCTTGCAAATGTGCATCTGAAAACCGACAGGCCTGACTTCCACCAGGCACTGTCCTTGTGTTACGGGACAGGGTGAAGCCCCCCGGACCCCCAAGCTTGCCCATGTAAACAGCCTCTGTATCAAGACAAAACATATAGGTAAGGCCGCAGTACAAGTGAAGTTGTTTTCGGAGGTGTTGTGCTCAGAGAGTGGGGGTCCCTTTCCAGAGCACCGGCAAGATCCCCATGAGACAGAGACAGTAGGTGTGTCCAGGAGAGCAGTGTTACTGTCAAAAGGCACCAGCATGGTCACCGGCGGGCGGCCTCGAAGGAGGAGCCGCCCCGCAGCTTTGCAACAGGAGGTCAGTGCAGGGAAGCCCAGCTGGGCCCTGGCCCAGGTGGGGGAAGGCCTCGCAGCGTGCCCTGGCAGAGACGGTCTTCTCTTTGGGAGTCATCTCTCTGCTGTTGATTTTGGGCTACTAGTAGAACTAGGAAAGCACTAGAGGTTCTATCATGGCGCGCCTGTCCGGTCCTCACCACCGGTCTGTGTGGTAGGACGCTTTTTACAGTTCCTAACCACTGCTGGGTCTGCGCCTCCTACTGGAGGTTGGCAGCCAAGGGCTGCTCGTTTCTAGAGCTGTTTAACAGCCATGTTAGTCACGTCTGCCCACCCACCTCCTGGCATCGCATGAGGCAGGTCCCTGGTCTTGTGGTGCCCCCTTTCCAAGTTTTCCATTATTTTCCTCCATCACAATTTGTGTACAGTAAAGGCCAGAGAAGGGAAAGAATTGATAAAATAATTTTCACACAAAATCCCAGTTACTGCTCCCCTTGCGGGTAAATGCCCAGACAAGCAGAGTTGGCTCAAAAACCTGCCACAAGTCTGAGGCACCATCTGGTGGGGGCTCAGGAAAGGGGACAGAGGGGCCAGGCAGGTCTGGGACGAAGGTGCAAAAGCAAAATCCAGATAAAGGCGTTGGTGTGCGCCTCCCACGGCTCTCACCTGGCTGTGCCAAGCGGCTCCTTCCATGTCGCCCAAGCCCCTAGGCCGGCCAGGGTGCCAGTGGCCTGCGCAGCTCCTTCACAAAACCTCTGCCTGCCCCTCCTCCAGGCTGTCTGCTGCCCTCTCCATCCTCCTTCCAGGCCCCTCTCCTGTCTCCCTTTCTCCCTGCTCAGCTCCACTTTCTTCTGGGTGGAGCAGGGAACCGGGAGCCGCCCCTTTCCCTGGGCACCACCGTTACACTTGGGTGACTAACTGCCAACCCCTACAGCCCTGGCTCACTCACACCCACTCTCTGCTCCCTCTCCAGCCTGGTTGTTGCATCTCTGGGCCCCCAGGACCTCAGCCCTCCCAGGATGGCCCTGTCCCCTGCAGCCCCCTGTCCCGGTGCCCCAGCTGGGGTCACGCCTCCGTCAGACAGGATCCCGTGTGCTGGCTTCTCTGTGCCTGTTCTCCAGGACCCGTGAAGGGCCTGGCTTGCATAGCACAGAGACTGTGCTGGGAGGGGACAGGGCTGCCCAGACCCTTTGGGTCAATCCGATGCCCTCCTGCCAGGGTAGGGTAGGCCAGAGACAGCTCCCTCACACCACCACCCCCTCCAATTAGGAGTTCAGTTCCCCTCTGAACTCACCTACCTGAGGCACACCTGCCTTGCCCACAGAGGCGGGGTGCAGATAAAAAGTGAACATGGTTTCACCTGGTTAAGATGGCTCCCCAGGCAACACGGCCCTGTTTGTCTTAGACAGAACAAGCCCTCCCAGTGCCCGGCTGCACCAGTGGCTCAGGCTGGGTGGGCCAGCCCTTCCCAGAATGCACCATTTATATGGAGGATACGAGGACAACACTTAGGATGGGGACTTCAGAGGACCAGAAACTGGGGGCGGGGGTAGAAATGACTAACATGAACAGCAATAGAACAGAATCCTGAGGAGAGGCACGGCCAGAGTGGGCTGTGGAGATGAGGCCATTGTAGAGAATCACCAGCCCTTCAGATTAGCCTGGCCACACCCTAGAAGTAATTTATCCCACAGTTAACAATTCCTACTGCAGAGAGGAACACGGAGCCATAGCACTTTGCCCGGTAACAGGCAGGAGAGCTGCAGGCCCACAGGGGCGTCTCTTCACAGACCCATCCCACAGGGGCAGCTCTCTTTCAGCCTGTGCTCACGTGGGCGTCTGGGCGTCTCTTCACAGACCTATCCCCCAGGGGCAGCTCTCCTCCCGCCGCCTCGCCTGCGTCTGTGTGAGACTCCTCCACTTCGCTTGCTTTAAACAAATGATAAGCTTGTCTTTTTGGATGTAAATAAGCTCTCTGCTGTGCTTGAGGAAAACTCACAAACTCACCAAGTGCGCAGAAAGGGAAGCGGTGGAAATTCTCCCAGAGGACCCACTGCCCAGGCCCTGGTTCCCTCCATGGGCCCCC